TCTCTCTCTAACCCCATCATCATCCATGCTCCAACTGAACATTGTGCAACAACAACTGAGAAGGATCTAGCACCCCTCATTCTCCTCTGGGTGTTTAAATGGTCCCTCTACCCCTAGAATTGATACGTGATTGCAACCAATCTGGATTTAAGCACACAGATCTGCTATTGTCATGTCCAGTTCGACCCAAAGATTCTCCCCACTCAAAGAAAGACCTTTTTCTCAGAGGAAGCCTGGGAGAAGAGATAAACTTTGTAACATGCCCTCAGGGTCAATATCCTTCTGCTCAAGAAACCTACTGGGGAAAAACAAATTCCAAACATGAAGATCCTTTGCTGCAATTTTCTGCAAAGCCTTATTGCAAGGCTCTTCCAATAAGCCAGTGAACTTCTGTGGCTGCAAAACACTAAGTAGAGAAATAGCTGATATACAAATGTCTGCCTTTGAACAAATTATATTAGAGCAGGCTCAAATAAGAGGACAGTATTACTTACCACTGGTTTTTTAAATTACTGAAATACTATGGAGTTTTTAAATTACAACTTCTTTAAAAAGTGTATTAAACACCTTGTGTTGTATAAGCATACTGCTTAATCTTATGAATAATATCAAAGAGCTGTTCAATGTTTTTAAGAGAACTATGAGTAATTAAAGACTGTCAACTGAGAACAGCAACTTTGGAATATTGCCCTAAAATGTTAAAATAATTATTTCTGTTCTATCATGGTTTATTAAAAGAGCAATCAAGAATCTTTGTAGAAATGTTGCACAAGTAACTATCAAAATAATGAATTCGCCAATTGTACTCCAACATAATTATGACAGCTTTTAAAAGCCACATTATACTGTACATGGGATTACAGAAGATTGCCTTATAACAGGGAAGGCTGTTGTCCATGTAGCTCTTTATTAACCTGGTTCATGCATCACATTAAGCCATAAAGTGATTTGCTTGATTTCAGCATAGCATGCTAAGCAACTGTGCTATTGTGGTTTATAAGCTATGGCTGAAGATGCTTAAATGTGGTTTACCTAATGAACGATGGCTAAGAGTTTATTGGATAAGCCACAATGTCTGTACTTATTGGCAGCTCCTGTTCGCCCAACATTTCCGCTGCAATTCTTTTTCACTGACTGATCATCAAGATTGATACTGGGTCTTTATAACCTAAAGCATGTGAGTTATGCCACAGCCCTCCCACTACATTTTATTTATTAGTTCTTCTTAGGCAATCATGAGATATTATCAGCAAAATCTTGCGGGGTAATCTACCTGTGAACCAGCGCATTTTTAGAATGACTTCTTCATTATGGCAACTGCACAGCACAGGGATATATTTTGGATGCTACAGGACACCTGTATACTTTGTGTACATGTCTTCAACTCATTCTTGACTCCTGGCAACTGCCTGGATTAGTCCCTGCAATTTTCTTGGCAAGACTTTTCAGAAATGGTTTGCCATTGCCTCCTTCCTAGTGCTGAGAGAGAGTGATCGGCCCAAGGTCACCCAAGGCAGGACTAGAACTCAGAGTCTCCCAGTTTCTAGCCTAGTGCCTTAACCTCTAAACCAAACTGGCTCTCACAGAACATTTTTAGGCATCATCAAACAAAAAGCCAATCACAATTCCCCAAAGTCTCACCTTTTGCTCCTGTGCACTTTTATTTAAAAGTCCAGTCTCATTTAGATGAATTGGCCTTGCCTCCAAACATACCAAGGATTGTAGTCTTAGAAATAAATGCAATTACAAAATATACTTAAAAGCTGATAACTTATTATCCCAGCACGGCTTCTAAGCTTATTACAGCTGTGTGCCAAGCAGCTGTTTTATGGGTAAAGCTTTTCCATCACCATATTTCCAGAGACTGGAAAAAGTTTTCCCTCCAAAATATCTGCAGTTGTTACACAAATCCCTCCTTTTGGAGTGGGGGGGGGGTGGCAAATCTAATTGAAATGCATAAGAAATGAAGTACTGATATGAAATACACAGCCATTGCTTTCTGAGTCAGTGACTGCCAGTGCTAAAGACTGATGCGAGAGCCTCAGCAGACAAAATTCAGCAAGCTCAGTGAAGAATCCAGCTTCTCATCATTAAAGCAGCATTACTTTCCTTGACTCTACCAGCTTATGGCAAAACAATAAGGGGGCAAATTACCTTCTGTTTAAAGACAGATGAGCAAATATGTTTTGACCCGCTGAAAATAAAAATCTGCATTCATGGCTAAAAGGCTTGCCGTGCTAGAGTTTTATCCACAAAGCAATTTTATTAATATCTCCTATCCTAAAATTACTCCACATAACCTGATCCAGATGCTGGTACAGGTAGTCCCCAATTTAAGAACGAGTTCTGTTCCCAAGTTCTGTTCTTAAGTCAAACTTGTATGTAAGCCGGAACAGTATTATTGTATAATACTATATAAGCAGCATTATGTAATTAACTTGAATCACTGTGTATTTAACTCAAATTTTGCTACAATAAGCTCCATTCTTAACTGTAGGTCATCTGTAACCCAGGCATTCTTAACCAGGAGACCACCTGCACTTGCAATGCCAACACGTCCTTCTCTGGATTCACACAGCCCATTAAACCATGTTTTAGTTAATAAGGGTTTGTAAAAACAAACAAACAAAACTGCCTGGATTCACATGTTGGCCTTGCTTAAGGTGGGAATCCACAGTCAGTTACTGTGAATGCCCTGAAGGAAAGAGAGGCTGTTTAGAGAATCACCCAGCAATGAAGGCACTGGATGAAGAGTAGGGAGACCAGATTCCACTCCATCCTTAGCCATGGAGGGAGGCTGGCTGACTTTGGGCCAGCCACTCTGTCTCAGCCCAATCTGCCACACAGGGTTGTTGTGAAGGAAAAGAGGAGTAGAGAGCATTATGCACACCACCTTGAGCTCCTAAATGAAAGACAGGCTATACGTCTAATTACGCAAATAAAGAAAATCCTATTCAAAGCACACAAAGTTGTATTAACCTAGAGCAGTGTTTCTCAACCTTGGCAGCTTGAAGATGGGTGGACTCCAACTCCCAGAATTCCCCA